GCTTCCCAGAGTGCTGGGATTACAGGCGCGAGTCACAGCACCTGGCCTGTTTAAGTTATTTTTATCTTTAGGTCTCAATTCCTCACAGAAAGCAACAGTTGCTGAGTTCCGCATTTGCTCACTTCATCTACCAGAACTCAGATGGGCTGGGTGCGATATACTAAATCTATGCCTTGGCAGTATCAATTCAAAATTCTCTCAGTTAAGTAAGATACGGAGCAAGATCCCCATGTGGAGAAATAATGAGCAAAGGTAAATTGTAAACATCATGGATCCTTAGACAAGAAAATGTCACATAACGTTTATTTCTTCCTCACACTTTGAAAAAAACACGGCTGGGCGTGGTGGCTCACGCCTGTGATCCCAGCACTTGGGAGCCAGAGGTGGGAGGATCGTGGAGGCCAGTGTTAGGTCCGGAGCCGAGAGGGAGACGCATGAAGCCTCGTGTGTAGCAAAATGCTGTTTTATTTTGAACATCTGGGTGTAGATGTGCAAAGGCCAAAGAGCATCCACCTTGAGGGAGGGGAGAGCCTTGGGTTTTACACAGGGTTTCTCAGGGGGAGCGAGCAGCACCTGCAGAGACAGGGGAGGGGCAGCTTGTCCTTATCGGGGGGATAGGGCCGCAGCTGTCCGTGGTCCAAGTTCGATTTACAGCCTCGGACCCTCCAGACTCCCGTGGCTTTTGTTTCCCAGGCTTTATGATCGCTATCTGAGTATTCCGTCCTATGTTAGGTTTCGGGTTCCCATCCTAAGCCATCCTAACAGCTAGGAGTTGAAAAAAACAATCGTTTATCATTAAGAAACCAAGTAGCATTAAGTGATTCCTGTAGCACTCACAACCGGATTATCAAAGGACTAAATGTTTTAAGGTTTTCTGATGAGGTAGGGAGGTTCTTCTCTTTTTATTTTTCTCAAATAACCATTGTAATCTAGAAGTGAAGAAGAAAAAGCTTGAGATTGGTTTTCTGTCTCTAGAAATTAGATTTCTAATTTTTAGAAAATAGATTTGACCTACTGAAATTTAGAAGATTCCAGTTATCACAATAGTTAGCTTTTCTGCCTGATTGGGTAGTTCAAAATAATTAACACGTTAATTTTTTAGAGACGAGTCTAGAAAATGGTGACATTTTAAAAGCTTTCAAATGTTCACATAGAAGGCCAGTTATGGAAAGAAAAAGCATTTACAAATGACCAATAAGCATACAGAAAATGTTCAGGTTCACTAATATCAACAC